GATATATATATATATATATATATATATATATATATATATGTGTGTATATATATATATGTATATATGTATATAATATATGTTATTCTTTTTTAATATTGTTTCAAATGATTGTATTAATTAAAATATTGGACTTTTCAATATTTGAAAGAATAATATAGAGATTACTAAAGTTTATGCCTGACCTGCTGCTGAATGAAATTGGACTCTGCTGTGTGAATTTAGCTAATTATCAATTAAACTTTCATTCATCAACTTTCAAGGGAATTGGTAGTGAAGAGGTTAGAGAAGTTGGGCCTGTGATCCCAAGATCGCAGGTTCAACTCCCGGTAGTGTTGTGCTCAAGACCACCTAACCCGAGACCAAGTCAAGACCAAGACCAGAATGTACCAAGACAAAACCAAGACTTTTAGGGTCCAAGACCAAGTTGAGACCAAGACCTCAATAAAATAAATAAAATTGTTTTTTTCCATTATAAAACGTTTTTATAAACGTTACATACTGCAACTTTAAGTTTGCTTTTGAACAAATGTATCAGCTTTTATAAATTTTCAAAGCTACATAACAAAGAAATCAGACATTCAGTGGCCTAACTTCACGTGTTTCAACAATAAAATTACACAAATGTTAAATTGGAAGCAGTTTCATCACATGCCAAGACTTAAAAATACTCCAGTGGCAAAACAATCTCCATAAGTCTGAACTCAACATCAAGGATAACCAAATAGTTGCACAGTGGTTTCAGTAAAGAAGTAGATGCACACCTAAAAAAGTTATATAAATGGATATTAGTTACAAGTATATTCTTTGTGATTTAAATAGCTGAATTTTATAACTGATTATATGGCAGACGTCTTCTCCTGTGCTCAGACAATCACTTCTCACTTTCTTGGAGTGACAAGTGTTGCCAGATAGACGAGGATTTCCAGCCCAAAAATCTGTTAAAAACAGCCACATCACACAAAAGAATCCGCCCAATCAATATATTGTTACAGTGTATTTGCTGTTTGAACATGAACACACATCAGTACAAGCCGAGGTAATTTACCAATATGTGGCAAAATGCAACAGTCCAACAAAAATCTTCCCAGAGGTCCCAAAATCATAGCAAAATCAGAATGAAAACCGCCCAATTGGCAGTAAACCGCCCAATCTGGCAACACTGGGAATGACGCGTGCGCGTGAAAGAGCATGACAGCAGTAACAAAAACATGTATTTAGCAATGAGTCACATTATTGCTTGGATTTGAATCAGTACTTTTTGCATCCAATAAAAACAAGGATGTTAACAAATAATCTGGACAATATTCTGGCATTTCAGTGATATTTCCACAGTTGTAGTCTTGACTGTTCTTGAAATAAAATCCCGAGTCCTCAATGTCCGATACCGAGACAAGACCGAGACCATCAATAAGTGGTCTTGAGACCGGTCTCAAGACCAAGACCGGTCTCGAGTACTACAACACTAACTCCCGGTACTGACAAGATCAAAATGTGGGTAAAAAGGTGAAACACCCACACCTGCCTCCACCCTCATTTGCCCCACTCTGGACCCTTGAGCAAGGCCCTTAACCCCCACCATCTGCTCACCTTGGTGCCCTAGATAGCAGTTTACTGCTCCACACAGAGGGCTGTGGTAGCTCAGTGGTTGTGTCAGGAAGGGCATCCAGCGTAAAAACAATCACCAGGTCTTCATGCTAGTTCTCTGTGGTGACCCCTGAGGAAGGGAGCAGCTGAAAGAATAGAAATGTAAGGTTTTATAAACCCTCCCCACACTCCTACAAACGTTTCCCATTCTCTTATATATAAACATTGCATATGCTCAAACACTTTGGCGATGGTGATGAAGATGATGACGATGAGATGAATGTACAGTGCACACAATGTCAAACACCAGGTTTAAAAAAACCATGATACAGTGAGGCGGCAAGAAGTGAACTGTGGTATAGCGAGGGACGACTGCATAGAACTAGTTTTGGACCAGTTTATTATTATTACCATCATGTTTGTGGGTAGGTCTAAGTATTCAGGGCTGTAGCCCTAAAAGCTTTCAGAATAACTAGATCTTAAAGAGGAAAAAAAGCTTAAAATGCAGTTCCAAAATAAAAACGTTCCAAAAATAAAACGATAATTTAAAAAAGTTTTCTTAAAAGCACGAACAGGACGGTTGTGCTTTCTTTGTATTTCATACAAGCAACCTTCACGTTAATTCACCTGTAGTGTTGAGAATCTAATTCGAGAATATTTTATACACCCTGACTGAGCCGTACGTAACATCATCAACATAAAATCAGTGGTGAAGATTTTATCACATAGTCAGAGCCACCAAGATTCTGCAGCACATTTTTTTAGCTCCATATTTATTTATGTATTCCATATAATTTGAGCCAACATTTGTCTCTTATCCTTGTCATAGTCCCAAAGAAAATAGAGCTAATTATAAGTCAGGGCGAACAATCCAGTTTAGCAGGTGTGAGCAATGTACCAGTTATCCTTGCTGCACAATCTAAATATGACCTGCTGTTGCAAACTCAGCAGGCACAAACATGACAGAAGGACAGAGCAAAGTGTTTTCTTACAGTGAGCTCAACGTCTTAATAGATAAAGCACAAAGGGATTCCTCAAACCTGAAAGAAAAACATCTCACTGCATCGTGAAGGAATCACAGTTGTAGTTGTCTCACAGATAAATGGTGTTTTGAGCTTAAATGACCAGCACTGCATTTTCTTATTTTCACAACAAGAAAACCGCCCTCTGGACCACGGGTTGTGCAGTCTCTTCTTGCAGAGTGTCGAACCCCACCTTCTTAATATACAAGCAGCTTTGGTTGGTTGGCATCTCTGTGACCATCATAGAAGTCACGTTGCAAAGACTTTGTGAAATATAGATGCACTAATTCCTTCTTTACATCCACAAAAGATATGCAATCCATTGATAAATCAAGGCCACGATTTTATCAAGAGTTTACAAGTGTTTGGGGTGGCTGTCGGTCACCTTCATCAGTCATCCTCTAATGAGTGTTGGGGTTCAAGTCCGCCGAATCGAAGTGTTGAGTGTCCCACGGCAAGGCACTGAGCCCCTCATTGCCTCCGATTTGTGACTCATCGGTGTATGACTGTGTTCTAAAGCACTGGTTAGACTCTACATAAAGATTTACTCAGATTATCTTTGTAGGGGTGCAGTACAGTGCTTTGTGTGGATAGATAACTGAGGGCACAGATGGTTGTGTAAAGGAATTTGAGTATCTTGGTTGGGTGGAAATGTGCTATATAAGTACAGTTCATTTAATTGACCATGTATCATAATTTCTGGACTATTGAGCGCACCCGAGTATAAGCCTCACCCACTAAAAAACTAAAATAAAATTTGTACATATATAGGCTGCACTTGTCTACAAGCTGCACCACATTGTAAGATGAGATATTTACACAGAAATATATTTTTAAAACTCTTAACTAAATACGTACCGGTAACATCTGTAACATAGCTGGTTAAAATAAATAAATAAATAAATACAGTAGCCTGCCAGGAAATGTCACTGATCTCTATGATCTATGAAAGGCCTTTTGGTCTCATAAATGTGAGATACTATGATGTTCCACCTCTAAAATCTTCAGTCTTGTTTTTGCTGATGACTGTTTTGGCTTTTAGACAGACCTGCACGGTGGAAACACCTCGGTCGTCTGCTCTATGTGTGTTCACCCAGTCTTCAAGAAGGTTTTCAAGTTCAGATCATCTGCTTTTATTTTACCTCTGAAAGTTTTTGTTGTCTTTTTGCATTGACTCAGTTCTTCATGCTGCCATCTCCAACGTCTCAACATCGATTCATTGACGCCAAGCTTACATGCAGCAGCTCTAGGTCCTTCTTTGACAGCCAGATCGATCACATTTAACTTGAAACCTGCATCATCTGCATTTCTTGGTGTGTTTTCCATGATAAGGGCGTGTGCATGAAGCATGAAGCAACTGATGTGAAGAACTTAGTGTGAGTGTGTTTGATATATGGTAATTTGAAGCTTCATTGGTCCACTGTGACCTGTTTGTTAATTTCATTGGTCAGATTAAAAAAAAAAGTTTATTTATACAAGTAGTCTCATTGAGGACCCCCCTGCCCCAAGAGGGACGTGTATTGGGCAGCTATGTGAGCGCCCAGGTGTGACAAGGCTAAGCCGCAGAGTTCAAAGTGTGTGAAAAAAGTAGCGGCTTATAGTCCAGAAATTACGGTACTACCTGTATGTACTACTGTGTACCATCCAAAAAACCCAGCTTGATTCTGTGCAGGGTGATGGTGGACTGGTGCCCTTAATGATATGAGTGTGACTGATACAAAAATTAAAAGCTTTGTTTGATTTGGCAATTGTTTTGACCAAAATGGTGACCACAAAGTACGAAGTTGAGCTACGACTTTAAGTATCAGTTGATCAGCATCTGTTTAGAAGTGGTTTCTGAATGTTAATTGCATCACATTATATTTCTGTTTATTATCACTTTGGTTTTACTGATCTCACAGAGCAATAAGCAACAGTCATGTTGTTCTGTGTTGTTACAGATGTCATATCAGAGTAATTGACACATTTGGGACAGAACCAGCTTACAATCATGAGGAGTATGCAACACTTCATGGCTACCGGACCAACTGGGGCTACTGGAACCTGAACCCGCGGCAGTATATGACCATGTTCCGTAAGAGAAAAGCTTCTTCCTCGAGTCACACTAATATTTAACCTACTGTCAATGTATTTTTTATAATAGTTTATTGTAAGACATCACATAAAAACCAACATGGGAACAAAAACAATATTTTTATACTTTAAAACAAGCTTACACACAGAGACTTGTCATCATTAAAGAGTCATTCTAAAAATGCTTAAATGACTTCAAACTAGTCTTTTTCTTTCTTTGTCAGGTCTCGCTGCCTGTTCACATTTGGTTGGAGTGTGTTTAATGTTTCTATTTTCAACAACATTACAACGTGTAGCATCTCCTTCCTGCTCTGTTATAAACAACACAGTACATCTGATCTGCACTAAGAGCTGTCTGTCTCCTTACTTCCTCACTGAACTACTTAACTGATACTTTTACATCCAGTTGTCAGAGCAGCTGTATAGCTATTACTAAGCAGCAGGATCATTATATCGACAATATATGACACACTAGAGACACCCACGTTCCACACTGACCAAAGCTATAATGAGCAACACAACCTTCATACTTGTGAGAGCGCAGCGGCAACGCAATTATTGTGAGTTTTCAATGCTTGTGAACATACTCTGCTAAAGGGGAAAATAAGTACAACTGTAATTGGTTTTAAAAAGTGATTCTTGAAAAGCCAGTAGTTAAAGATTTAAGATAAAGTTGGTTTTAATTGTGTACCTTTCTTTGAACTCACAAGAAAAAAACTTTAATGTATTAAAATTTCCCCAAATTGGTCATCTCAGAGTTATCTCTGCCAACAGCAGCTGGCTCTGTAACAGTCATTTATAATACTCACAGAGGTAATCATCCAACAAACTGAGGCACAAAAGGATAGATAACTTTTTCTGTCTTTCTTCTTATTCTCTCATTTGCAATAAAACTCTTTGTCTTCTTACCTTTCCTTGGTGTCGATGGATTCTTTTTCACCTTTCTTATCCGTCTCCTACCTTCACCTCCTACACACAAATGCCCACACTCCTACACCTTCAGCCCACACACCAGACAATTCTTTCATGGGCTTCGTCTCAGAAGAGCTGAATGAGACAGAGAAGAGGAGCATCCAGCAGAACAAAGTCAACAACATGGCTGTGGTGTACGGCAAAGAGGCCAGCATGTGGAAGGTACACACACTAACCAACTCTGAGCTGAAGCTAACGAGTAAGGATGTACTTCTACAAGTGATTGTTTGCATGCAACCAAAAGGCTTATACGCATTCCTTCAAGGATCGCCATAGGTTTTTATTTTTAAAATGTGGCAATATATCAACTGGCAAGATGTAAAAAAGAAAATAGTAGGTATTAATAAACCTCTTTAACCATTACTGACCCACATGCTGTACAAACTTAGAACTTAGAGGCACAGCAGTGTGACTAAAATACAATAGGATCCAGATTAAATAAAATCGTTCTAGATTTTAGACCTGTGCCACCAGTTTTGGAGGACTGGTAGCAAAAAAGGAAAGAGAAGGCAAGCCGGTAATTAGGGGGTTGCAGGTTCAAAGCCCTGGGCTTACAACAAAAATTTGGTTGTGAAAGGTGAAGCACCCTCATTTGCCCCACTGTGGGCACTGTGCCATTGCATCAGGTGGTGGATGAAAAGGTTCCTTCTGCTTGCCAGGATCCATCACACTGTGCTACCTAGAACAAAGAAATAAAAAACAAAAAACATTCTACCTCTCATGCACAGTGTAACCCCTACTCATCTGAAAACCCTGCTCTAAAAGCATTATACAGTGGCACTTGAATGTTTGTGAACACTTTATAATTTTCTGTATTTCTGCATAAATATGACCTAAAACATCAGATTTCCATACAAGCCCTAAAAGTAGATAAAGAGAACCCAGTTAAACAAATGAGACAAAAAATATTATACTTGATCATTTATTTATTGAGGAAAATGATCAAATATTACATAATTGTGAGTGGTACAAGTATGTGAACCTCTAGGATTAGCAGTTAGTATTAGAGTCAGGTGTTTTCAATCAATGGATGATGATCAGGTGTGAGTGGGCACCCTGTTTGATTAAAAGGACATGATCTATCAAAGTCTGTTCTTCACAACATGTTTGTGGAAGTGGATCATGGAGGAACAAAGGAGATTTCTGAGGAGCTCAGAAAAACAGTTGTTGATGCTCATCAGGCTGGAAAAAGTTACAAAGCATCTGTAAAGAGTTTAGACTCCACCAATCCACTGTCAGACACGTGTACAAATGGAGAAAATTCAAGACCATTGCTCCCTCCCCAGGAATGATGGACCAACAAAGGTCACTCCAAGCACAAGGTGAGGTCACAAAGGAGCCCAGGGTAACTTCTAACAACTGAAAATCTCTCTCACATTGACTGATGTTGATGTTCATGAGTCCACCATCAGGAGAACTCTGAACAACAATAATTCAAGGCAGGGCTGAAGGAGAAACCACTGCTCTCCAAAAAGAACATGGCTGCTCCTCTGCAGTTTGCTAAAGAGCATGTGGACAAGCCAGAAGGTCGTTGGAAGAATGTTTTGTGGACGGATGAGACCAAAATAAAACTTTTTGGTTTAAATTAAAAGTTTGTTTGGAGAAAGGAGAACTCTGCATCAGAACTTGATCCCATCTGTGAAACATGGTGGTGGTATCATGGTTTGGGCCTGTTTTGCTGCATCTGGGCCAAGACAGCTTGCCATCATTGATTGAACAATGAATTCTGAATTATATCAGAGAATTCTAAAAAAAAATGTTAGAACATCTGTCCATGAACTGAATCTCAAAAGCAGGTGGGTCATGCAGCGAAACAATGACCCTAAACATACAAGTCATTCTATGAAAGAATGGTTCAAGAAGAATAAAGTTCATGTTTTGGAATGGCCAAGTCAAAGTCCTGACCTTAATCCAATCCAGATGTTGTGGAAGGACCTGAAGCGGCAGTTAATGTGAGGAAACCACCAACATCCAGAGATGAAGCTGTTTTGTACAGAGGAATGGACTAAAACTCTTAAGGTGTGCAGGAAAAGGACATCAAGGCTCTCTCAAGGAACTTTTCAGAGACACCATTAAGTCATTGGTTCAGGTATGTTGATGACACCTGGGTTAAAATTAAATCTCAGGAAGTTCAACATTTCACTGATCACATCAACTCTGTGGATAAATACATCAAGTTCACACGAGAAGATGTAAAAAAAATGGCAGGTTGGCTTTCTTGGACTGTGAGGTCCCAGTTTCTGATAGAGGACATTTGCAAACTGAGGTGTACCGCAAACCCACCCACACAGACCAGTATTTGCAGTTTGACTCCCATCACCCTTTGGAGCACAAGTTAGGAGTCATCAGGACTCTGTACCACAGAGCAGACAGCGTCCCTACTAACTCAGGAGCCAGGCAGAAGGAGAAATCCTACACAAGACAGGCTCTAGAGCAATGTGGATATCCTAACTGGGCCTTCCTGAAAGCAGAGAAGAAACCCAAACAGGACTCCAGTCAGCCATCAGGTGAAAAGGAGGAACCCAGACCCAGACCAGTGGTCATTCCATATGTTGAGGGAGTATCAGAGAAACTGAGGCATTTATTTTCTACACACAACATCCCTTTGGCTTTTAAACCCCAAAATACATTACGGCAAAGACTGGTTCATCCCAAAGATCCAGTCCCCCGGCACAAACAGAGTAATGTTGTGTATGCTGTTCAGTGTCAGGAGGGCTGTGATCAGTCTTACATCGGGGAAACTAAACAGCCACTGGCCAAAAGGATGGCCCAGCACAGAAGAGCAACATTATCAGGCCAGGACTCTGCGGTCTACGCTCATCTCCAGGCCAGCGGTCACTCTTTCAGGGATGAAGATGTTCACATCCTGGACAGAGAGGAACGATGGTTTGAGAGAGGAGTAAAGGAGGCCATCTTTGTAAAAAGAAACAGTCCATCATTAAACAGGGGTGGAGGCCTACGTGTTCATCTGTCCCCCTCTTACAATGCTGTGATTGCTAGTATCACTCAGCCCCCTGTGAATAGTAAACAGCCATCAGTGTGCTAATGATCCATTGTTAGGCTGATGGTCCTTCTTGACCATGTGAGCAGCTGGTTTTGGTTGTCAGCAGCAAACTGGTTGATCCACTCTGAGAAGGTGCTATTTAAGAGACTGAGCTGAATACAGCACCTCAGACTGAGGAAGTCTTTTGGATGAGAGACGAAACGTTTCTACTTTTTAATTTTTTTTTTTACTTTGTTTTGTTTTTTGAATGTCCAGAGGACCAGACTTAACTTTTTTAGATTTTTCCAACTAGATTATTGAGCATGCATCAGGAAAGGTTCACAAACTTTTACCTCTCACAAAATGTAATATTGGATCATTTTCCTCAATAAATAAATGACCAAGTATAATATTTTTGTCTCATTTGTTGAACTGGGTTCCCTTGATCTATTTTTAGGACTTGTGTGAAAATATGTTGATGTTTTACGTCATATTTATGCAGGAATATGTAAAAATGTTACATGTTCACAAACATTCAAGCATCACTGTATAAGCTATAAGTTTGCATTCCCTGTTCAAATCCCTCAGCGGGGCGGACATTGTACTGGTCTTCATCCAGTGTGAGAGGGTCTTACACTTGTTTCTTTGTTTAACTGTTTACAGCCCGATGTGTGAGAACATACCTTCTGTTGTCCGTGAAGATAGTTTAGATAGATTCAACAAATTATGTAACAAATCAAAACCCCACAATCCTAAAGGCTTAAATCTTGCTCTAAATATTATAGAAAACAAGTACATCGTTTAGTACTGATCCATTTAATCAATATTACAACACAGTGCTCCAACTATGCTGTGTTATGAGAAGACAACTTTGACAACATTTTGCATGTCCCACTGTTTATGTCATTATAATTCAGCTTCATGTGGTTTTTATATGCACAAGTGTGCATATTTAATTTACAACTTATTTTCTTCTCAGATCGTTTGCCTGTTCATCCATACAAAGTAGAAAGGCACAGTTGTGTCTCCATTCTTAAAATAATTATAAAGATGTTGTTTACTCTTTACAGTTTGCCAGTTCCATGGTTTCCATCAGAGTTGGTGCTTAGGAAAGAGCTCAAAGTGGGTCATGAAAGTACAATACATTAGTACATTTCTGGAAAAACTGCTTTGGAAAAAGGCAGAAACAGTTACCTGTAACTTTTTTTTTTCTTTCTTTTGTGTTTCACCCATTGTTCGATAGTTGTTGAGCAGCAGCTCTCTTTGGATACATTTTACAACATGTGTTGTTTTCTCTTTTTCTTTTGTGTGGGAAACTGTTGGACCTGACTGGATCAGCTTCAGGTAAGAGTCTTTCTTGCACCCTTTATTTTAGACCACTTGTACAAATGGAAATGATTAATATGTACTGACTAAATGACATAAAATATTCAGTTGCTAATAAATATGCACTTTTTTAATGAAGTCACCTCACAGTCAAATGCTGGCAGTTCATACCTTGTGAATGTAAAATATATGCAATGCCCTAAATACCCTCCAAATCTGATTTGCCTGCTTTTTGTGCCATATTTTCTTTGTTGTTACTGCTGTTTTCTCTTCTAATGTAATGTGTGAATGTTTTCATACTGAGCCATTAGGATTTTTAAATAATGTTAAAAACACAACTGACCTGCAGTGTACAAACTTTGTTTTATTTAGACCAATGATTCTGTCCTGTCTGAAAAGGATGTGTGTGCTGTGACAAGAGAAAAGTCTGTTTGCTTGTGTTGACTTAGAATACATGAACAATACATTTTCATAACTGCTGCAGCACATTTACTTTGGAGGATTTGTCCTGAACTGTTACCAAGACTTCTTTTTGTTTCCTCCCAACACATCAAAAGAGAAACCATAATATTGATTTGAAGAAAAAAAAAAGTTTGATCAAATCAGCCAGTTGATTTAAACAATAAATCTTGTAATACTGTTAGCTAAACACTTTAACAACAAAGCTAATCTTGTTGTTTTACATAATTTTAAATTGGGTAGAATACAATAGAACTTATGCAGACATGTACACATCAGGGGCAGCACGGTGGTGCAAGTTGGTAGAGCTGCTGCCTCTCAGTGAGCAGGTTGCCCTGGTTCAAATCCTGGCCCAGGACCTTTTTGCGTGGAATTTGCATGTTCTCTCCATGCATGTGTGGGTTTTCTCCAGGTACTCCAGTTTCCTCCCTCAGACCAAAAACATGCATGTTAGACTGATTGGTAACTCTAAATTGTCTCTAGGTGTGAGTGAGAGAGTGAATGGTTGTTTGTCTCTCTGTCCCTGTGATGGACTGGAGACCTGTCCTGGGTGTCCCCCACCCCTCACACAGTGACTGCTGGATATGGACACCAGTGACCCCACGACCCAAAAAGGAAGAAGCGGGTAAAGATGATGGATGGATGGATGGATGGATGGATGGATGGATGGACGGAAGGACGGAAGGACGGAAGGAAGGATGGATACATCATAGTTACATTGGCAGTAGTTTGTTGTACCTGGTACACTAAAAACAAGTTGATGATTTGTGCAAATGCTATAGCACAAGTTGTTCAATGGTCATTCTGGGATTTTTATTAAATTCCAGTTCTTCCTGTTATCTTTTGGAAGGTAGGTTAGCAAGTCTTTGGCTGTGGAAAGAGCTTCTTAGTCTTTTAGTTTACATAGTATTAATTAGTGGTTGTCTTTTTCCAGAGCGCAGGAGAGAATATAAATGATGACCGGGGTGGGATGGGTCTCATCGGGCAGTATATCACTTGGCTTATTTGATGACCAGAAACTGTAAAATTAGGCAAACTTTCTGTTGCAGTCGTACTGAATTCAAAACATTTGCAACCAGCAAGATGTGCAGCTACATTTTGAGCAGCCAATCTTTGACTTGTTTTATGTGCACTGAATGCAAAATTGTCTGGGCCATTCAACAAGTTCAAGACAAAAACAACTGGACTTTATTTGTAATAGAAGACATTTATTCTGGGCCATGCACATTGTTTTGTTTCCAACATCATAATCTGCTGGGTACCCGCCATGGCAGACTTTTAAAATAAAGAGGCAAAATTGAACCTTTTTTTTAATTGTTTTATATTGACAAGTGTGAACCTTGACATTCAGAGCTGTGGTCTTGAATGATCTACAAGTGTCAAAATACAGCTTTAGACTTTTAAAATTATGGAAACTTAGTTGAGTTTGAAAAACACAAAGTTTGTTTTCTCAGTCATCCAGGTATATAACAACAAAAAA